TCTATGTTCTACGTTTATAATATTCATCAAGTACTATCGTTAAAATTCTTCATCTTGGCATAAACAGCATTAAGAACTGCCAACAACATTTGACGTCTATGCCTTCCTTCTTGCAACAGACACTGCATAGCGATGAGGAATGCGTCGCCTAGCAACCATACATCTCCTTCCATTACGTCACTCAATGCCTAGAAACCGGCTAACAACCACTCAGTTGATGACGTCATGCTTTGCTTAGCAACCGGCCATCTTCGCAGATGACGTCATAGAACGTGTTGCGCATCTTAGACGCAACAGCGACGGCAGCCGCAACCGCAACAGCAGCAGCAGCAGCAACAATATCTATTGCCTAGCAACGACGCTAAGTAACGTCACGCATATGAGCACGTGACCTACCACCTGACCTCGCAAGTAGATGCTTGAGTGCCAGTCTGATCAATTGCTAGAATGTGCGCTGTGAAGTTGTGCGTGCGTGTATGTGTGCGTGTGTCTGTGCGTGTGTGTGTGTTTTGATGTTGCTGGTGTTGTTGCGTGTTGCTTGTATTGTTGATTGTGTTGTTGCATGTCTTAGTATCAGCTGTGCGTGTGTTTGTGTGTGTGTGTCTGTGCGAGTTTGTTTAGATGTTGTCTGTCGTTGTTGTTTGTTTTGTTTCTGCTGTTTTGTTATAAAATTGCTCATAAAATGTTACAATTGTATGCAGACATTTGTTGTGGTTTTAAAAGTAGTAGTTGTAGTAGTTGTAGTTGTAGTCGTAACCGTAGTAGTAGTCGCAAAGTAGTAGTAGTAGTAGTAGTAGTAGTAGTAGCTGAAATTGTAGTATGAGATGCAGCTTCTTTGAGTAGTAGTAGTAGTAGTAGTAGTTGTAGTAGTAGTAGTAGTAGTTGAAGGAAGCTGTAATATGAGATGCAGCTTCTTTGAGTAGTAGTAGTAGTAGTAGTGGTAGTAGTAGTAGTAGTAGTAGTAGTAGTAGTCGTAGTAGTAGTAATAGTAGTAGTAGTAGTAGTTGAAGTTGTAGTATGAGATGCAGCTTCTTTGTGAGGTCTCATTGTTTATAGTTGATCACCTCACTTTATATAACGCTGTCATATTTTTATTAACCCCGTAAAGCCATTCAATTCATAAAGAATATTAGTATTTGTGTTGGATAAATCTCTTAAGTATTACTAGTAGCAGCAGCAGCAGTTGAAGCTGCAGTAGTAGTGGTTGTAGTAGTAGTAGTTGTTGTTGTAGACAAGTAGTAGCAGTTGTTGTTTTAATAGTTGTTGTTGCTTATTAATGTGTATTTATATACAGTTTAAGTATTTTTTCTGTATATATTTTTGTCAACGCTTATTTATTGAGTTAGTTTAGTTTTTTGTTGTTGTAGTTGTTGCTGTTGTAGTTGCTGTAGTAGTAGTTGTTGTTGTTGTTGTAGTGGTAGTAGTAGTAGTTGTTTTTGTAGTAGTTTTTGTTGTTGCTGTTGTTGTAATAGTAGTTGTAGTAGTAGTAGTAGTTGTTGTTGTAATAGTAGTAGTAGTAGTAGTTGTTGTAGTAGTTGCTGTTGTTGTTGCTGTTGTTGTTGTTGCTGTTGTTGTTGCTGTTGTTGTTGTTGACTGGCTGACCGACAAATTGGTCTGTTGTTGTTTTAAGTTGATGAATACCTCGCAACACTTCGTAAGGTCGCAGGGATCCATGGCAGACATTTGTAATCAGAATGAAAAAATTATTTTTAATACTTCCACTAAAACCTGTCGCCGCTGTCGTTGCTACTACTACTACATGTGTATCAATGCTACAACTTGAAATTATAATGATTTTATTTTTACTATTGTAAAACTGCATATCAAATTCATATTATAACTACTACCTGTAGTTTAGTATCACAGATGATTTTAACTGTTCTTCTTCAATATTTCTACGAAAATTTGTTGCTAGCATCGCTACTACCGTCGCGATACATGCAGTAAGGTCACTAGCGTCAATAGTTAGGATTTTACTTTGATTACTGATACTTGATAATAATTGTAGTAAATTTACTACACGACGCAATGTAAATCATTGTAATGCTTGTAAAGTTACTTCTGGATTTTTCGATACCCCTGCTAAAATTTGAGGCCAGAAAATTCTGTTGCAAAATATTTGTTGATTTCAAACAAATTGTTGCTGTGTTGTTGTTGTTGTGTTGCTGTTGTTGTGTTGTTGTTGTTGTGTTGTTGTAGTTGTGTTGTAGTTGTTGTGTTGCTGTTGTTGTTGCTGTTGACTGGCATAAATATTTGTTCATTTTTTTCTTTCATAGCTAACATGCCAACTTTCTTTTTTCATTCGCCCGATCATTCTTCTTTTCAATCGATCATTTTCATTCAGTCATTTTCGTCAAATACACACACACACAACACACAAACAAAAACACACAAATACACACACACAGACAAACAGACAGAAAAAGAAAAAGGGAGAGTGAGAGAAAGAGAAACATACCTACTAGCAACAAATCAGTCATTTAATCCGCACAATCGATCAACCAAGACATAAAATCAATCACTCATCCATCAATTTATTTGATCACTCATTCATTCATTTATTTATTCATTCCTTTACTTGTTCCTTCTATCAATCACATATTAAATGTTTATTTTTCTAATGATTTATTGATTTAATGATTTGTTCGATTCATTTTTTATATATTCATTCATTCATTCATTCATTCATTCATTCGTTCGTTCGTTCGTTCATTCATTCATTCATTCATTCATTCGTTCGTTCGTTCATTCATTCATTCATTCATTCATTCATTCATTCATTCGTTCGTTCGTTCGTTCGTTCGTTCGTTCGTTCATTCATTTATTTGATTGTTTATTGATTCAGTTTTTCACTCATTTAATTATCCATTCCATACATAATTATTCTTTATTTCATTAACCAATCAACTATGTAACATTCATTCATTCAGTCTCTCAATCACTCTTCATTCGTTCACTCAATTTTACCCATTCAATCAATCATTTATTCATTCAATCAGTCATCAATTAACTCATTCATTCGATCAATCACTCATTATTTATTCATTCACTCATTTCTTCGATCATTAACTCTCTCATTCATTCATTCATTCATTCAACATGTGTCGACCCTTGAAATTGCACGCGACTTCCAACGAACATGCATGACGCTAATGATTGATGACGTCACGTCACGTGCTTCGGTCACGTGATAAGTATTTATCAAGTGGCTTGTTAAACGCGTCAAAGTCGTCTGCGTCTGTGCCGATGGCGCGAATTCATTCGCAGTCAGTCGGTCGGTCAGTCTGTCTGTCTGTCCGTCTGTCTGTCTGTCTGTCATCAATGCTGTCTTGTAGCCAGTAGCATCGTCTTTATCCTCATCATTTTTTATAGTTATAATGATAATAGCTTTGAAAAAAAGTACAAATTATAACAATTATGTTGAAAATAATAATAATAATACTAATAAAATAATAATAATAATAATAATAATAAAAATGATGCCATCATCATCATCACCTGAGCAGCCGGCATAGACATCATGTTTACGAAGCAAATGGTCACCACCACTAGTCAAAGATACTGAATAGTTCTTCCTCTTCACTAACGTGACGTCATCCATGCAGCCGTGGAAACCGGAAGTTGACCTAATTATACGCGGGAGTGACGCCATGATGTCGGGAGGACCGCCGCCGATGTAAACGTCATCGTTCAGGTCAAAGTTCACTGACCTAATTTAATTGAAAGATAATGATATTAATAAATAAAAAACAACAACATCAATAACAACAACAACAGTAAAAAATTGAGCTGCAAAGACAAAAGGGTCTGATCATCATCGCCATCATCATCAGCAACATCCGAATCAAAACCATCATCACCATCATCACTATCATAATAACCACCACCAACATCATCATTATCATCATCTCCCACTTGGTCACATGACCTACCTGCCAGTACTAATGACGTCATGTATGAGGTAGTCGTCGACGACGAGCGTCATGGTGTGATTGCTGGTTCTGGAAATGGTGACTGTGTGCCACAGGGAATCGCTAATGTAGCCGCGATTATTGTTGTTGTTGTAGTTGTTGTTGTAGTTGTTTTTGATGTTGATGATGTTTAAAATGCTACTAGTTTTTCCGTCAGTTTTCTTGTTGAGGTTGTTTCTTTTATATATTTTTTTACTGTTTTTGTTATCATCATTATCATCATCATTATTATTATTATTGTTGTTATTATTAATTAAATTATTATTATTATTGTTATTATTGCGATTATTATTCTTTGTTTTATTATCATCATTGTCGTTAATAATGTGTTTTCGACGCTTCATTCGATGTTTGATAAAATTTCTGTCAAATTGACTCACCCCTTTTTTGCTACTACTACTACTGCTACTATTACCTCTACTACCGCTACTACTATTACTACTACCACTACTTGTATTGCTACTACCATTTCTGATACTACTACTTCTACTATTACTACTACTACCACTACTACTACTATTGCTGGTTCTACTATTCTTGCTACTGCTGCTGCTACTACTACTACTACTTTTGTTGCTACTACTACTGCTGCTGCTGCTGCTGCCGCTACTACTACTACCGCGTAGCATCCTGGCTCCGTCTCCAGTATCGTAGCATAGGGTCACATGACCCGACAATAATTCAACGGCCAGGAAATCTTTTTCAAACTGGCCGGAAGTGGAATACAAAAGTAAACAATCGGTTGCCGCGGTTCGTATCTGTGTGTGACGTCATAAGATGTAATGTCACGTGGTGCTGTACGATGTGACGTCATACGGTGTCATATGATGTCATAGGACGTGTCGTATGGTGTCATGTAATGTTTCACACGATGTCAGACGATATCATATTTTGATGACAACAATTACACTGATAGTAATAATGATAATAATAAAATAATAATAATAATAATAATAATAATAATAATGTAACATGATAAAATTAACAATAACCAATTGTATATATATATATATATATATATATATATATATATATATATATATATATATATATATATATGTGTGTGTGTGTGTGTGTGTGTGTGTGTGTGTGTGTGTGTGTATATATATACAGGAAATGATGAATAGTTGGGCTTAGAACGATAGAATGATTTATCAAAAAATGAATAATAATAATGAATAATGATTAATAATAGCAGTAATAATAATAATAATTTTAATAATAATAAAAAATAATAATAATAATTTTAATAATAATAAAAAATAATAATAATAATTTTAATAATAATAAAAAATAATAAATATGACTATGTAAACACTTTTAATTTTATCAAAGAGAAAAATGTTTAAATGAAATAAATGTCAATTTTATTATTATTATTTAAAATTATTATATTAAGAAATAATAAGAAAGAAAATTATACTGAATTATTATCATTATTATTATTATCATTATTATTATTTTTTATGATTATGGAGAAAAAGATGAAAAAGCGGAAAGGAAAATAAACAATTTATATCTTAATAATCTGATATGAGTTATTTATGCGACTGTATATATTGGAAGTGTAATGACAACATTCATCATGCATACATACATACATGCATGCATGCATACAAAGAAACATACAAACATACATACATAGAAAGAGACATACAAACTCACAAACATACAGATATACACACACACATACATTCATAAATATGAAGGTAGTCATGTACGTGTTTGCTTGAGAGGAGTTATATTTGCAAAAGAAGCCTGTCTAGAAGTAAATAAATAAATGAATGAACGTATACATATAAATACATATATGTATGTTTGTTTGTATATTTTTATACAAACATTTGTATGTATGTATGTATGTGTGTATGTATGTATATATGTATGTATGTGTGTGTGTTTATATGTATATAGGCAAGTAAACAGTATGATATGCAGTACAATGATTTTTATTTGCTTCTGGAAACTCTAATAGATGTATGTAGGTTGTACATCCATGTATGCATGTGTGTTTATGTGTGTGTAAGAATGTATGTATGTGTGTGAGTATGCATGCGTGCGTGTGCGTGTGTGTGTTGTTTTTTAAGTGTGTGCGTGCGTGCGTGTGTGGTGTGTGTGTGTGTATAAGTTAATTGTATGAATGCATAACACAATTATACCAGAAAAATAGATACATGGCTTTGGTGAAATGAAAGCGACGTTGAGATAAAAGTTACTGTTGGAACGTTATGTAAACGAATGAATGAACGAATGAATGAATGAGTGAATGAATGAATGAATAGATGAATGAGTGAATGATTGAATGAATGAATAAATTGATAGATAAATGAATGAATGATATGATGAATTAATAGACGAGCGAATTAATATACAAAAGAACGAATAAAAAATTAAACAAAACAAAAATTGGATGACTAAATGAAGAAGCGAGTGAACAATTGATTGATTGATTGATGGAAAAATGAATGAATGAATGATTGATAGACGGAAATTCGAATGAATGAGTGCATGAATGAATGCATGGCTGCTTGAGCCTGCGTGCTAAGGCTTCAAGAGACAATTTGCCACATCACTCATTCATTTAGAACAGGATGAAAAATATTTCTGTCTGCCCAAGTTATGATGATGATGATGATGTTTGATGATGATGATGATGTTTGATGATGATGATGATGTTTGATGATGTTGATGGTTTATAATAATGATGATGGTGATATTGGTGATGGTAATGATGATTTTTCATTATGATGATATGATGATGATGATGGTGATGATGAAGTTGATGATGATGGTGATACTTATTTGAGAATGATAATTATGATGATGATATTTGATGATGATGATGATAATGATGGAGACGGTGATGATGGTGATGATGACGACGACGATGATGAGCGGCGAGTAGAGAAACATGATGATGGGAGAGAAACATGATGATGGACGATTTGGGCATACAAAACAACGCACGGGCCAGTCGCTAAGGGACATTTGTCTTCAATAATAATAAAAATAATAACAAATAATAACTATAATAATAATATAAATAATAATAACAACAATAATTATTTTTATTTTAAAACAATTTTAATAACAACTCTGTCAAGTAAATAATCACCATCACCACCACCACCATTATCAAATGCTGTAGCTAAGGGGTGAGGGAACTAGAAGGATTATGAAGGGACTGCAGATTCCCCGAAAAGTTCAAAACTTAATAAGTCTTATGAGCGTCATAGAAATTAAACAAAAAATTAAACTATAGTTCAATGTTAAACGAAGGATACAAAACATGAATGACGAAATCTTTTTGTTACAGTTCAAGAAGGCGACTAATTTTTTAAAAATTGAAACGTTCTTACTTTTGCTTATAAAACAAAGCGGAAATTGTCCGTCTTTACAAGTTTTAATACAGGATTATTATTAATAGTTTTTGGTAACTAATTTGTAATTAGATTGACGCAATCAACAAGTATTTAGAAAAAAATTAGCTTATTTTCAATGTATGTTCAGTAACTTAAGTTAAAAAAACATTCCGAACTGGCTACTCCATCCCCTGATAACCAAAATCCTGACTACATCTTGACATAATCTTCACAGCATCATGACAATCATCATCATCTTCTTCATCATCATCATCTTCGTCATCATCATCATCTTCATCATCTTCATCATCATCGTCGTCATCATCGTCGTCATGACAGTCACATAACCTTCATCCGAATGACAAAGTTGGAATGTATCTTCCACCTCGTGATGACGTAAGATGACGAAGATCTGAACGTCATCGCTGACGTCATCGCCGTTGCGTCACGTGACACCATCGATGATGATGATGATGATGTCGATGATGATCGTGGGGGCGATGATAATGATGATGGTGATGATAATGATGATGATGATGATGATGATGGTGATGATAATGATGATGATGATGGTGAGGATGGTGGTGATGACCTCACCAGTTGGAATGAAAATAACAAAAACGAAATAAACATCGTTGAAAAAGAAGAAGGCCCTTTAGGAAAATTTCTACCCCACCGATAAGATGATGATGACGACGATGATGATAATGATGATGACGATGACGATGATGATGACGATGATGATAAAGATGGTAATGTTGGTGATAATGAAGGCAAAGATGATGATAGCAATGATGATGATGATAACGCTGATGACGATGATGATGACGATGTAGATGAGGAATTTTGAGATAATTTACTTGGTAATGAATTATACATGGATGACGATTTCATCAGCTCCGACGAAGACGACGATGTTGATGAAGAAATTGATGATGGTAATGAGGATGAAGATGATGATGACGTCAGAATTGATGATGATGATGACGTCAGAATTGATGGTGATGATGATGACGTCAGAATTGATGATGATGATACTGATAAACATTTTGGTGATAACGTTTCTGAGAGCTTTATACAAGACAATATAGATTTAGCTGACTGCAGTGGTGATGATAGTAATAATAATGATGATGACGACGATGATGAAGAAGAAGAGGAAGATGACGAAGATGATGATGATGGGGTTGATGTCGATGATGATGCTGATCTCTGCTGTGATAATAATGGTAGTAATGTCGCCAGGACTTCGATTTTCGACTGCGTGAATTTAAACAATTTGTGGAGTTTATTTGTCATTGAGATGT